TTGGACATAGGAATATTTAGGATCCGTTTGGATGGACTTTTAAAAAAAAAAAAAATTATTAATTACTTTTTTAAAAAGAATTTTTAAAAAAAATTAAAGTTATTTTATATTTGGATGCAATATTTAAAATCTGCTTTTAATTAAAAATGTCAAAATAAAAAAGTACTTTTAAACATAAAATAACTGTTGTACTCCTTAAAAAAAATCCCCCCCCCCCCCCAAATAGAATCCCCTTATCATCCTAATTTTTTTTCCTATTTTTGAAAATACTTCGCCGTTGTCATTGATCTAGAAGTGCTCTGTATTACGTTGGTGAGGCTGGTTTTCAGTTGATATACCTTTGATGCATTCTTCACACAGTATTGTTTCCTTAGATCATCCCAAAGTTACTTTGCAAAAGCAAAATATTGTATGTAGGATTGTAACATTGGATATATGGTGTTATGAATCCAGCCAATTTTCATGGAGTTCACAACAATCCACGCTCTGCCTTAATCGGAAGCTATGTCTCTTGGTTTCGTAATAGCATTGGTAATGAAATCGAGTTTGTTCTTCTTGGTCAGGTCAATGTTATTGCTCGAATCTGCCATGTTGATGCTTCTACACATCAAAGAAAATCAATGTTTCTGGATCGTCGGTAATTTTATCACTCTTTTTAAAGTTCTAAGCATGTCAATAACATTTTCTATGGATTTTTCAAATTATTTTCAAGAATTTAAAAATTATATATTATGCAATTCGAAAAACAAGTTTATTTTGAGCTCATTCATGCAATTTTGATAAAAACTAGCCTTATATTCAAGTCCTACATATGTACTATTTTTTAGGTCCTGAACTTAAGTTCTTCCGGTGTAGCTTGAGTCTTGACTTACTTTAAATCTATCAATGTTATGAATCACATATCTAAAGATATAATAACTTCAAATCTATTAATAAATCCAAGGGTTTTCCTACCTATTGATCGGTCTTTTGGGTGTAGCTCTCTCTTGGGGTGTGAGATCGTAACAATTTGAGGATTCATAACACCCAAATAATCTATCAATGGGTGGAAAAACCCTTAGACATATTAATATATTTGAAGTTATTGTATCTTTAGATATGAAATTCGTAAGAGACAATTGACTTGATGCACTTTACAAATGTTGACTTGTTTAATTATCCTCTTAGACTTATTTTTATTGTTACAAGTTGTAATATTCTTGAAGTATTTTTTCATACTTGTTTTTATTAACCAAACTCTTGCATCTTTAGATTCTTCATATTGAATGTATTATTTCCACAAGAATTGTGCTATGTGACTACAGTCCAATAGAGTAACAACAAAGATAAATGATTTTTAGAATGTGCATCTTAATGGTATAATATGGGTATTTTTAGATGGAGAAAATTCTCTAGTGATGAGTGAAAAAAGAACCATAACCCTTTTTTTCCCTTTGTGGGCCGACGAGATGTGATACAAACATCCTCACCTTGTTTTTCAAGTATGCATGCAACATAATAAGATTGAATGTGATAAGATTATTCGTTTAATTTTAGGGTATATTTGGGAGTAAATATTAAGAGGAAAATAGAAGGAATGAGAATATTTTGCTTATGCTTTTCCCTTGTATGTGAGTTTTAAAAATTGGGAGAAAAGAATAGATTTTTTTTTGTAAAATCCTAAAATATCATTCTCACCCTTAAAATTAGAGTTTCCCTAATTTGAGATCTGAGAGGAAAAATATAGTAAATTATTTATGTGTCCTTACTTTCTTTTTGAATTTTTTTGATTTTCTCTCTTAAAATAATTTGAATTTATTTAATGAAACTAATTTTTTTTTTCAAATTGCATTATTTTGAGATAAGTGATTTACTTTTATAGATGTGATTCATAATTTTTTAATAGTTTTAATTTAGTTATAATGTGAAATAGATAATTTTAGAGAGAAAAATATTTTTTGGATAGAAAAAAATATTTTAACTGGAGAATCATTTTTTAAATGTGAAAATTACATAAATACTTTTTTTTAGAAATTTTAAATTTAATTTAAATTATAAAATAAATAATTATATTAGTTTTCAAAAAAAGGATAAAATTGTAAAAACTTCTCATTAACTCTATTTTTCTCCCTTAATGTATTTTTAACTCTCAAACAATGAGTGTAATATGTTTCATTTTTCTTTCCTCCTCTTCCCCTTAGATCCTCTTCATTTTTTTTTCCTCCAAACTTTCAAACACACTCTTAAAAAAGCATGGGTATAATCTCTATAATAAGTCTTAAGAGCCAATTTAATGGATTAGTCCAGAATATGACGATGTTGACATTCCAAGACAGATACCTCTTACACCAAAAAATTTGTAATCTTTCTTATAAAAAATAAAGCATTATAAATCAACTCTTCTACTTTCCCGAGGCTTACAAGAGATGAACTTGCTTGACATGCAGTGCATCTACATTTAAGGATTATACAATTCATTACAAAGTTAAAACTTAAAAGAGTTAAACTAATCTCTATGATATTATCAAACCGAGCGGAGAATCATAAAGTGGGCAAGCAAGCTCAAATTAAACTTTGTTTTTTTTAAATGCTTTGTTCTTTATTTCTTGTGATTTTAAATAAAGAAAACAGCAGAAAGATTCATAGAATGGAATAGATTTGGCTTACTAAAACTATTTCTTTTGTCAAGACATGAACTCATCGGCACGTTAGAATAAACATCTTTTGTGTTGTTCAAACTAAACCATGACTTATTTCAAAAAATAAAAAATAAAATAAAAAACTAAACCATGACAAAGTAGATATTCGTTACAAACGCGTAACCCCACGACACGGAATACTCAACCTTTTAAACGCCAACTCAGTTTGCATACATGATAGAAAAGGTCAGCTAAGAAACATCTGGAAAGTTCAAATGATGCTTATAATTCTTTGGCTAATTAATCAACAAAAGTATTATATTTTTTAAAAATTATTAAAAATAACATAATTTAAAAATATTTATTAATGAAAAAAAGTGTTTGTCATTTAAAATGACATAAAGTTATGTCATTTTAAGAGAGACACACAAAATAATATTTTTTATTTAAAATTTAAATTAAAAAAACCACCAACTTTCTCTCTTATGATTTTTATTCTTTGTGTCTATCTCTCTTCTAAAATGACGTAACTTATGTAATTTAAAATGACAAACATCAAACCCTTAATTAATTTGATATAATTTAATTATTTTTTAGGGAAAATTGTTTGGTATTTTAAATGATATAAAATTATATCATTTTAAGATACAGACAGACACATAATAATATTTTTTATTTAAAATTTAAATTAAAAAAACCATCCAATTTCTCTTTCTTGATTTTTCATTTTTTGTGTTTATCTCTTTTCTAGAATGATATAACTTATGTCATCTAGAATGACAAACATCAATTTTTTTTTTTTTTTTATCACCAGATCCCCATAAATATTATAGGTGTCATATTTATGGAACTCGCAGTATAAAAAATGGTTAATTTATATCATTTTCATAAATAATTTTTAACTATATTATTTTAATAATTATTTGAAAATTATATAACTTCGTTTAATCATCCTAATTCTTTTTAAAAATTAATCGGTATTTGACTGAGCACATTTTGGCTAATTTTTTGATCCTGAAGTCTCCGACCACCTTTTTGTTTGCTGAAATAATGATCATTAAAAGGTATTCGAATGATTGGCTATGATTGGGACATTTAATAATTAGCGCGGGGCTTGGATTAAGAATGTACGAAGTTCTTTAGCTAAGCACAAGCCGAAGGAACGAACAAAAACAAGAAAGGTATAAGTAAATGGGATTTTGATGCATGAGAAGTAAATTTTTATGCTGTGACTTAATCAGCAGTGAATTTTATATTTATTAAAAAAAAAAAAAAGTTTTGTGTGCAAATCAAAAAATTATAATATAAAAATTGAATTCTAATGTAACACGGAAAAATATTTTTTCTAAATAAATAGGAAAATGTGTGTGTCATTTCAAAGGATGTAAAGTTGTATTATTTTAAGAGAGAGAAAGAGATAGATAAAAAAGAGAGAGAGAGTTGACAAAAAAAAATAAAGGTGTGAGTCTCACCTCTTTGTGAGAGTGAAAAAATATAAATTATGTTATTTAAAAGGATAAACATTTTTTTCAAATAAATATAAGGAGAAACCAAAACTTTCGTTAAGCTACTGTTATACTACATTACAAAGTTTTTTATTTTTATTTTTTTTGATACATTACAATATATAGATTTCTTTTTAACTACAATAAGCACGGGCCATATGAGGCACCTGGTCCATTTGGTTCTGTTTTTGGCCCACAAAAACGGACTATTAGTTGTAGTGCATATCCACGTAACAATATTATTCAATATGATCAACGTCTGTATAAGATGTTTTCAAAAAAAAAAAAAAATGTATGTATAAGATGTCCGCTAATGGAAATATTTTCAGTATTATATATGTACTGACCATTCCATATTATTTTTTAAAAATAATATATTTATATTATATTTATCTTTATAGTTATTTTTTTTCATATTTCTATTTTTTCCCTTTTTGATAAAGATGTAACTATTTTCGTTGTACCGAAATTTTGTTCCTGTCCGCTAATTATCCTTAAAGTGGACACCTTAAAAAGTTATATTATTTAATTTTATGAATATAAAGATCCTATTAATAATTTTTTTGATAATTTTTTCAAACTTTTTCCCCTTAAAACAAGCTAATTCTGTCTCCATAATCCTCTCTCTGAGTATAGTTATTAATAGTTAAAAGTAATTAAGTACTTGCAAATTTTATTCACTGATAAATTAATTTCTGCGCTAAGAGACTTATTTGATCGGGGAAATATACGAGGTTATGAGAAAAGAAAAGAAAAGAAAAGAAAATCCTTGCTCTGTTATAGAAGAATGGGAGAAGTAAGTAGCCAACTATTCTGTTAGGGCACATCATTGGACTAAGTCGATGAAAAGCTCAAAATAGTTTATTCGTACTACTTTTTACACAACATTTATTTCTCGAATTGCAAGTGAGTACTGACTTGCCTTTACTGCATCGTTCAATGTTAGAAAAAATGAGTCCTTCCCAATCCTTTCAACAAACTTGGATGCTATCAGTTTCTCCAAAACCTCCTTCCTTGGGTTTACTAATGACATCTATATAATATGCAAAAACTAAAATATATTATTAATTAATCCACCAGCGGGTTATAGCCTAAATTAAAATCTGTATACTGTACCTTCATTCTATTCTTTTCAAAAACTTTATTTGTTTCCCACAGTCCTTCAATAGCAGTGATGTCAATGGATGTCACTCCTGTGTAGGCATATACAATCAAGAAAAACATAACATTGTACGAATATAATAGGCCATAAAATTACATATACAATGTTAATAATCTTAGAGAGAATCTGGAATATATAAAAATAATCAATTATCTTTTACCTGACAAATCGAGTATGATCTGCTCAACGATATATCCATTTGAGTCTTGTTCACTTCTAATATACCTCATAATTCTGAAGTAAAATTTTAGAAATTGAGTTTGTTCAATTCGGATGTATCAAAAATGGCCTATACGTGAATCCAAAATTTACCTTTCTTTGATGTAGGTAGAATTTGCAAAGTAAATGGGAGAACCAAGTTGTACAATCAGAATTCCTGGGAATGTTGAAGCATTATACTGCTCAACATCTCGATATAAATCCAAGTCAGGTAACTTTCCAAGCCTACATGCCGCAGGCCTAGCCACATACAAGAGTGCCCTGAGCACACTAAGACCAACCTTGAATTCACATAGGATAACTGAATTAGATATTGTTTTACAAAAATTGAGCAAATTCAACTCTATTAAAAAGGTGCAGCCTTGTGTTATAAAGCTCCTGCTGCAAGAGATAACCTCCTTATTATATGTGATCTCGTGATGACATCACTAACCATTGTGTTAAGGTTCCTTTGGGGCTTTATAGCACAATGGTTAACAGACAAAAAACAAGTTAAAGTTGAAAAAATGGAAAAACTTAGTACTTACTGACAACATGAGGCCAACATCCGGGGCTATAAAGGTTACTCCAAGAAAGGCCACCATGCAAATAACAAAATCAAACTTGTCAACTTTATAGAGATTAATATATTCGCTATAACTAATCAACCCCATCATGGAAGAGACTATAATAGCTGATAGAGCAACAAGAGGGGTGTAACCAAAAAATGGTGCCAAAAACTGTAGTGTGAGTGCCATTAGGAAACCCTGTACTATGTTTGACATAGCTGTCTTACACCCTGCACTGTAATTCACAGCTGTTTTGGAAAATGGTCCTACAAAATAGATTTATAGAGCAAGAATTAGTATAGCATTCCATTAAATGAAAATTTCATTTAAAAGGTTTATTTTAATGTAGAATATAACAGATATGTAATTAATGGAATGGTTATAAGTGTCAATATAAACTTACCACTAGTCAAGTAACATGAAGTAAAAGAACCGCATAAGTTCATAAGACCAAAAGCTATCATCTCATTGTTCCCATCATGAGGCGTATTTTCAACCACAGAAAAGCTTCTTCCAATTGCTATTCCTTCCTATATTTAAAAAATAATAATTAAAAGATATAACATAATTAAACATTAATGATTTAAAAAAAATAAACGAGATTAGAATTTCTCACCGCCAATGACACAAAACCTGTCAAAAGACCAGTTTTCAGTATCGCAGGTAAATATTTACTGTCAAAGTTAAGATACTGGATGGACGAAGGATTTATTCCTTTATCTAGGTAGCCCACCTATAATAATTCATAAATAAGAAGATGATAAGATTGAGAAATACATAAGAAACTTGGTAATTTAAAAAGATTATAACCCACAATTTGAATTCCATGTCGTTGGCCGTTGACGAGGTAAGTAAAAACACCAGCAACCATTACAGTTGCCATTGGAGCTATAGCTGATACCCAAAAGAGTTTTGGGTTCCTATTCCTCTGAAAGATTATTATATATATTGAAAAGGGTAACTCGTTAGTATAATTCTGGACAACGAGGTGAAATATGAAATATAGGTTTGTGAAATACATTGCTACATTTTTTTACCTATAACGGGACTATCAGTACCATAATTATATTGTCGTGATATACGATGAAAATGAAGTGGATAAAACAATCATCTCACTAGCAAGAGTACGTTGAATTAATGATTTTATATTATATTTTTTTAATATTTTTTTCCATACAAGAGCCTTTTAGGCACAAACCCATTTTGACTTAAATTCATTAGAAAATGAGGTAAGGAGGATCTAACTTGTGATTGTATGGTCATCTTGGCTCTGATATCAGGTAAGTGAAAGCCCAATTAATGATTTTAAATTATATCTTTTAAACTGAACCTTTTTTTATTTTTTATTTTTTTATGTATTATGATTAACCATGGATTCATTTATTATATATCTCAACAATTTATGTCTAATAATTAAGTTGAGAATCAATTTAAATGCACAAGAGCACTCACCACGTATCTAGTAAACTGCAGGAAAACAAGGAAGATCACACCCAGAACTGTGGTCTCCCACCTTATCTGTAAACGAAGAAACACAGAAATTCACCCCCGTTATGTCCAAAACATAGAACAAGTTTTTTGCTATTTCTTTTCTTTCTTGATGACTACTAATGATACTTTCTACATGTATATTAAGAAAGTTTACAGCAAACAGGCCCCGATGTAGTTATGAAAGCATAATCATTTCGGTAACTATTCTTATATATTATAATTTTATTACATAAATATATGTAATAAAATTATGAGTAAATACCTTTTTTGATCCTCAGCAAATTTCACGATTCCCGCTTTAGTCCCTAACAACTAAAAATGTCCATCGTGGTCCCTAAGAAATTCAAAATGGAACTATTTTAGTCCTTTTAGGGACTAATATGAATCTTTTTTGAATTTGTGAAGTACCACGATTTCAACTAAATGGGTCCATTTTAAATTTCTTAGGGACCACAATGGGTCTTTTTATTTGCTAGGGACTAAAGTGAGCATCGTGAAATTTGCTGAGGACCAAAAAAGGTATTTACTCTCAAATTATAATGTGAACTACATCTAATGCTTTAATTTTTGGATTAGAGTGATCACTAATTTGATTCTCACCGCTCTATTTTATTAATAAATATTTTAAATAATATAGAATTTCTTAACAGAAATTAACGGATGTGTTTATTGTTCCCTCTTCAAACTCAAATTAACTCTTATACGAGTGAAATATAAAGAAATATAATATAAAATTATTAATATAATTTTCCTTTAAATAACCAATTGATTGATCGATTTGGATAATAAAAAACACATTGCAATAATTTGTTCCAAACGAACCTCATTTCTATAGGTCCATATACCCTTCACCAGTGTTACGAGGTCCATTTTATTCACAAAATGTTGCATGCCGAAAATTCCCTTCAGTTGTTGGACGCAGAGAATTATTGCTGTCCCTCCAATGAAGCCAGTGATGGTAGCATGTGACAAGAAATCCACCAACATCCCCAACCTGCAAGGCTTTCACTCACTCTCATGTAAGCAACACCATAAAATAAGAAGTTGGGAAAAAAAAAAAAGTTACATTAGCCAGCTAAATTTCTGTGTTATATTATATTAATTAAGGGATCAATTTATTTCATGTTGATCTCATGCAACAGAGCAATGGCGGTTGTGTACTTGCAAGTTGCAAGTGCACACACAAATCTTTTTTGAAAAAAAAAAAATAAAATATATTTTGGGTCATCAACAAAAATTACAGGATCTAATTTAATCTCTTAAAAAAAAGTCGACTCGTGATTCCTTTAAATTTCAAAATAGACTCATGTTAGTTCTTTTGAGGGATTAATGTAGATCTTTTTGAATTTCTAAGAGCATCATTTTGATTATCTGGGTCTATTTTTGAATTCCGACGGATTAAAATAGACTTTTTTTTCTCTAAAAGATTAAATTGAGGGCCGTAATTTTTTTTGTAGACCCAAAATGTTCTATTGCAACAGTTTAATTGGCTCTTGATTACTTTTTTTTATATTAAATTAAAGTTTTTTATATTCTTTTTTATTTTAATATATTTAAAATTTTCTTTAAATTTTTTTCTTTATTTTTTTATTCTAAATGTGCAAATATTAAAAAAAATTTATAGGTCCGCTGTTGCAACATATACAAGATAGATAGTGGGATTCACTGTCTTTAAAAAGAACAAAAAAAAAATAGTGGAGCCCCCTATTTTATCTCTATTATATGAAATCTCTATAATTATTTCCCGTTAACTAATTTCTTGGTGCAAAGACAAATAATCCTAATGATCAAGAACATGATGAGAGGATGGTTCAAGAAGAATGATTCACTATCTCTTTCTTTTATCTCACCTGAGAATTCCCAAACAAGTCTGGAAGGCGCCGGCAACAAAGGTAGTTGTGAAAACCAAATGAAGGTAGAGCTTAGGGTCGTCTTCTGGTCTTGCCACGGTTGAAATATTTTGATATATAAGCAATGATAATGAAGCTAACGTACCCACAGACATGTGCCTTGAGCTCCCAAAAATAGCATACACTAAAGGTGGCACAAAACTGCTATCTGAGGTTTACAGTAAAACAATATTATTCGTATTAATCCAAATACAGTCTTTAACGTAGTAAATGTTTCATTTTTAACTTCTATATATATAACATTAATGAGACAAAAAAAGAAACAAGAAACAAAAGAAAATTTGCACGTTAATTCTTACAGAGGCCAATGATGGGAGGAAGGTCAGCGAGTTTAGCAAAGCTAATGCTTTGAGGGACAGCAAAGCTGGTCATGGTGAGGCCAGCGAGGAAGTCAGAGTAAAACAAGCGCAAAGTGTAACTGGGGAGCCATTCGAAGATTGGGAGGAAATACTGAACCCCTTTAAGGGCTTTGCGCAGTGGCTTTTCTTCATTCTTCAAATGCCTAAAGGGATCGTCAGGGAAGAAAGTTTCTTTGACTCCTGATTTGAGTTTGGTAAGAAACCCTCTCGGGGTGGCAAAGTTCACTGTATGTTGATTCTCAGTGTTGTCAGTGAAATGCATGACTTTAGGCCCCGAAAGCACACTCCACGCAAATAATTAACTAGCTAGCTAGCTAGGGAGAGATTCTTTGAATTGAGGTTTGGTGAACCAGAGAGGCCAAATCCCCATTAAATAGGCAAGGATACGGGAAAATGCTCAAGTATACAAACAATTTAATTTCTAGAAAAATATGCACAAATTAAAGCATAAAATTTTTGTGGTTTGAGTTATAAAATATTTTCTTTTTTCTTTCTACACTAATGTACTTATCCTTTCCTTTTGATTGGTTAAAAAAAGTATAATTTATGAAGTATAGACACTCATACAACACGAGATGGAGACATACCAAATGTATATATAAAAGCTTCAATATATTTCTATTTCATGTATGTAAGTATTATTTGTCATTTGTAAATTTTCTTTGCCGATTGGGAATCTGGGTCTTTACCAACTAGAAAATTACTTACGGCAATTCAAATTCATCATATTTAACTTTCACCAATGGGCGTCGCGCAGCTAGAAATGTTGATTTTTTTTATCTGACGTTATTATCCTAAAATATAGTAGAATAATAGCATTGTGTTTCTTTGTGAGTTATGGTAGCCACCATTTTAAATAATTAATTTTTTGTCGTCCATCATTGAAAACTATAGAGTAACGTAGAGTGTCGTTTTAATAGATGGATCAAAGGATCAAAAGCCAGAGTGCAATTTATTTATTTTTGAGAAAAAAGTTTGTGGATGTGGAAAAAGTCTTCTATTTTAAGGTAAGTACTTTATGTAAATCTCAGTAAAAATTAACGTGCTACCTGAGCCCAAGTGCAATATTAAACTAATAGACTTGAAAGAGAAAATGTGATATCTATCCTCTTTCTTACATCTTTATTTATTGAGTGAACAGATATTAATTGGTGAAAGTTAAGTGTAGTGTATTAACAATCTTATTGTTTGGTAGGGATCAAGTATCAACACTTTCTAGATACTCTCGATCAGAATGTAAAGGCAGTAAAGAAATAGGAGTTATTGAAGATAAATAAAATTTATAAATACATTTTTTGTTGTTGGAGTTAATCCAACCTTAATCACTTCTTCGAGACGAATTAGCTCTCCACGGGTGCGGGAGCGGATCATGGATGAAGATAAGTAAACTCTTCTAAAAAATGACATATGAGAATCGAACTAATGTCCTTTTTCTTTTCATTTACTCAACTCCCTTACTACCAACTGAGCTACCATCATTTAGTGTTAAATACAACCCTTTACTGCTTAATGAGTCACTGAATTGTTATTAGAATTCATTTCGTCTTATCAAAGCTCTCTTTCTGGAAAGATTTTTCCCCCCTTGTAGCCAAGTCAGTTGTCATTGTAACTCCAGGGGATTGAAAGGGTTAATTAGGACATTAATTTAATAAATAATAATATATGATGTGATTATTGTTAGATCATTAAGCTTTTATTCTTTAATCTTTTTAAGGTTCCCGTCATGGTTTATCTGGGTCAATATCGTCCTGATTGGGAGCATACCAAAATTTTACTTTTTAATCTCTTTTAGTATAGTGGAATCAGTCAGCAACGTTAAATTCCTCGTTTAAATTAATTTTTTTTGGATATATCACTCGTTGAAATTATTAGATCTTAATACCGTATACACACTCTATCCAGTGCTATACTACTACTAGCATACTGGTTGTCAATACGTGCATGTAGAATCTTTTATGATTAACTATCATTTTTATACGTCCAAACGCACAATTAATTAGTATAATTTTTTATTTGTAACATTATTTTTTATATAGTTTAAAAATTATTTTGTAATAGAAATATAGTTAATTAAATTAGTATTTCAAAAAAAAAATTATTTTTATTTTTATTTTCATTGTCATAACTTAGACATTTTGTGTTCTTTGATACGCTCACAGAGTCATCTCGTGAGTTCTCACATGGGTTTCCATTGCAAACAACGATAGTGTTTGAAAAAAATGATTTTGCATTCTATCACGAATGATTCCGTAGCTATCAAAATGACTAAAGAAAAGCACAGAGACAGTGGTTAGTTGTGTGAATTATCATTTCCATGTAATACTGATTAAGAATTTAAGTGGGAGTCATAAAATATGCCTTTGGAGTTTTAGGTGGAGATGTAATATCCAATCCACTTAAAGTTAGATATACTTACCCCCATTAAAATGCAGATAGATTCTCCTATACAATTTTCCTTTTGGGCTCCCCAAAGCTCCTATACAAATTTCAATGAGTTTAAACTTTCCTTTTCCTCTCAAGCCTGCTAAATTACAAACATCTTGTTAACTCACTACATGATTCTGAGTCACCACCAAATTACTTTTCATCAATAACCCTTGCTAGTCCATAATGGATTCTGTCTCAGTGAAAAGAAAAACCAACCCTATCTCAATTCACCTACAAGTCCAGAACTAGTTTATTTTTTTTGGTAAACAGCCCAGAACTAAATTTAACATGTGCTCTGCAAGGTTTGAAATTCTAAAATTAAATTTTATAAAATTCCTAAATTTGTTAGAAATTTAAGAATTTTGGATCTGTAAAATTGTAGCAACTTTTTGTTTTGTTTTGGATATCCCTGTATCTAAATTTTCAATTTATGTCTATTAATCGTAAAATTTTATAAATAACTCCGCAAAAGCTATAACAACAATACATAATAGCCTATAGATAATCGTAAGCATCTATTAATTAAGGGTTTATTTTTTCTGCAATAAGCTCAATATGACGTCGTTTTAGATGAAAATCATGGTGATTTTTATATTTATAATTTTTTTAGATTTCAATACCAAAACAACGTCGTTTTGAGAATAAATATAGATAACTTATCTGTAGTAACTGCAGAAACATTTTTTCATTAATTAAATCATATATTACATGTTAAACTCGTTCACATAATTTTCATTTTTTTTTTTTGATAAAATGACGTTACTGAGATTGGAATTTATAAATGTAAAATAATTAAATCCCTCACCATCAATTCACTCTTCATAACTTGTTCACATAAAATTTAAGTTGTTAACTAAGTTACACCTTGTGATAACGTTTCTTTGTTGTCTTTATTTTATTATAGTATTGAAATAGAAATTTTTAAAAATTCAACAAAGTATTATCAATTTCAAACTAAAATACGTCATATCAAATTACAGTAAGCAATATAACATTTTTTGTTTCTACTTCTCATAACGCAAAAATAGTTCCTGATCATTCTTTCACAATTTAATTGCGGTCAAATTTTTCCGAGTATGTTCCTTTCAATATAATTAATTAATAAAAAAAGCATTTATCCCGGCTTTCCATTTCCTGCAATCAACGTTACTTCAACAGTAGGCTCTGACGTATTAAGATTTTAGATAGACCTACATGTAACATTGGCTGTATAGAAAGAGACATACATACATACATAATACACCCAAAAACATGACTTACATATTGCGTGCGTTGTCTTTATATAACAAAGAGAACCCCCTTATGGAAGGACATTCAAAGCCAAGGAGAGTTGTAAATGGGTGTTACAACAGATTTAACTTGTAAGTACTTGTGCAGTGCTTCCAATCCTAAATCTCTTCCAAATCCACTCATTTTATACCCTCCAAAAGGGACGTCATCCCCAAAGGCAAAATAGCAGTTGATCCAAATAATGCCTGCACGAATAGACCTTGACATGGTGTTTGAGGTATCCAAGTTCTTGGTTACAATGCCTGCTGCTAGGCCATATTTGGTATTGTTAGCACTCTTAATTGCTTCCTCAATGGTCCTGTTGTTCATGTGTCATACTTAAATCCAGCATTCATGAACAAGCCCAAAAACAATTTTTTTTTTTTTTTTTTGTACTCAAACAACAACAAAAATACATAAATAAAAAAGATATAACTTACTTGAACTTCATCAGTACCATTACAGGGCCAAATATTTCATCCTGTGATATAAGCATGTCCTCCTAAACAAGTTGTTAATATTTTATTTTTTTTACAAGTAAAAAAAAACAAACATGACGGTTAGCTATCAAACTATGCTATAAAGATACCGAATTCAATACCTTGATGGAGTTAGAAATCACCTTAACATTGGAGAAAATTGTAGGTTCAATGTAGTAGCCTTTGCTGCCCACTGTTTTACCTCCAGTCAAAAGGGTGGCTCCTTCCCTCTTTCCATGTTCAATATAGGAAAGAATTTTTTCGAATTGGTTCCTGTCAGCCTAAAATAGAAAACTGTCAACCCAGCCAACCAAGTAGGATCTTAATTACTTGTGAACAATCAAGTATTATGTTTGAAATATAATATAATAGTTGGAGAGTTACTATAAAACAAACGATCGGATATTTTTAAGAACTAGTGTGCACATAATTGTGCTACTATATATATATTATATAGTCCTTACCTGAGGCCCTTGCTGAACTTTAGGATCAAAAGGATCCCCAATGACCCAAGCTTTTGCCTTCTTTACCAACTTCTTCTCAAATTCATTATAGATCCCTTCCTGAACAAACACACGTGAACTTGCAACACAAGCTTCTCCCTGAAACCACAAACGGAGAAATAAAATGTTGGCTTGTCAGAGATATACAAGGAAGCTCTTTTTAAATGAAAGAATTTTCTAAAGGCAATTTCACCTTGTTAAATAGGATGCCTATGAGAGCAAGTTCAACAGCTTTGTCTAAATCAGCATCATCAAAAATAATGAGAGGTGATTTGCCTCCTAATTCAAGTGAAACCGATTTTAAATTACTCTTAGCTGCAGCCTGCATTACTTCACGACCTACTTCAATTGAACCAGTAAAGCTGACCTGAAGATAGAAACACACAACAGACAACACAACCAAGGAAATTTTAGCACTCTTATTTAAGACCATAGTACTTCAAATATTGTTTGTGATGTAAATTACCGCATCAATGTCCATGTGTGAACTTATTGCAGCACCAGCAGTTGGGCCAAATCCTGGTACTACATTGAGCACTCCATTTGGAATTCCAGCCTTTAAAGAGGGAAAAGCAAGGAAAAATAAAATCCAATCAGAGATGCCTCAAGTCACTTGTGAGACCCATGATTGATAAGGAAAAAATGAAGCATTAGTTGAAACATACCAGCTTAGCTAGATGAGCATAAAACAAAGCAGAGAGAGGTGTTTGTTCAGCAGGCTTAAGGACCATGGTGCACCCTGCAGCTAGGGAAGGGCTAACCTTGGTGAAGAACATGGTGGTGGCGGCATTCCAGGGAATTATGTGTCCCACAACACCAATTGGTTCCAATAGTGTATAGGCATGGAACTTCCCAGACATTTTTAATACATCGCCATGAATTTTATCAGCAGCACCTGCATAGTAACGAAGGGTGTTTGCTGCTGTAGGAACTTCCACATCCTTAGCAAAATGGTACAACTTGCCAGCATCAATAGTATCTAACGCTGCTAGTTCTTCCCTGTTTTGTTCAATTAGGTCTGCCCATTTCATCATAATTTTTCCTCTTTCCTGATTAACATATGAGAAGAAGCAAAAGGGAAAATTCAAACAAGATTTTTTTTTTTTAATTTCGGTTATAGCCAAACTAAATCTAAAACCTTAAATTACAACGTGCAGGCCATCAATGATCTTATCTATGAAGGTTTATTTTTTATTTATTTTTTGTTTTGGGAGGTTCTTTGCAAATTTTGGGAAATTGGAGAGTCATGTGAAATATATATATACCTTTTTTTTTTTAATTAATGTTGCTAAATTGTAACTGAACCCACTATCTAAAGCATGTGAAAAGATGAATAAATAAAAAAATTTACATGACAAATTTTTAACATGAGATGATAGCAAACTCTAGGTCGGAGTTTCAGAAGATGCAGCTCTTTAATGATTGCAAGGCACTTCAACGGTTTAGTTATAATCCATCACTATAATGGTTTAATTTCTTAACTTATTCTTTTAAAAATAAAGCATATAATTCTCAATTTTAATTTTCTTAAAAACCCATAAAAAAAACTAGAGGGCAATGAATATGAATGAAAAAGTATTTAATTAAAGAAAGGAAAAGAATAACGTACAGTGCCGGGCAAGCGGGGCCATGGACCTGAGTCAAACGCCTCACGCGCCGCTTTAACGGCAACATCAATGTCTTCTTTAGCTCCCTCGCTAATTCTCGCAACTGCCTCTCCGGTTCTTGGATCTATTGTCTCAAATGTCATTCCTTTTTTTTTTTTTCATTTAAAAAAAAAAACTATCAAAAAGTTTGTCAAAGTTAGTTTAAAATATTTAAAAAATAACACTCCTTATTTGTTGGTATGTAAATTTTTTTTTTTTCCTCTAAAAAACTTATGACTATTATTATAGTGCATGATTTAGAAGCCGGCATTGTTGAGAGATTGAAATCGTCTCATTCTTTTAAGGGAGAAATATTTATGATTTTAAAGGATGTAATATTAGAAAAATTTGTCACATAATAACTGATATCATAGGAAAGAATGAGCGATTATTGATGGAAATTATTTTAATTTAGATATTAAGTGAATTACTAATGTTTCACTTAAAATAATATAATATTATATCCTTTAAAAAAAAAATATATTTTTTTCGTTCTTTTAATATACTATTTTTTCGTTCTAAATAAATGTTTCCATAAATAGTGATAAATTCAACCTGATCTGGTCAGACTAAGTAGATCAGATTTGTCTATTTAGATAGCTCTGTACTTGAAAACTGATTTTTCATTTTAATATAAGTATGTGTTTATAAATTTCAAAAGATTTTAAGTATGATAGGAATTCTTTACGTTTAAGTGACGTAGTTATTTGAATGGTAATTATAAAATGAAGTTTATAACAAAATCTATCCAAATTAAAATCAAACCTATATAACTTATAATTAGCTGTCATCGTCTCGAGTTGAATAAATTAGACCAAAAAAAGATGCAGAAAAAGGAAATATATAAAGGAGTAACAGATAAAACTAGTACTATGTATAAAAAAAAGAAGAAGAAGATAAAACTAGTACTGAAATGAAAGGCCCAAAAAAGGAACTAAGTAGAAAGAAAGGTAGTGGAGACGGAAAGGAAAGGAAAGATATAAAACCTGATGCTGAATCAACAAAATCTCCATTAATAAAGAGCTTAGTAAACTTGATGGTGGGCATCTTGAGGAAGGAACTGTCGTGGCCACCAAAAGAATTAGAGAGACCAGTCATTTGTGTGTGACTGTTAATGATTAATGTAGAGAGAATGAAGGTTGATTTGAGATGCTGTCTATATGTATAGAGTCAAGAGCACGACGTAGGTGTAGAGAATAACTATATTGGTTTTGATTATAAAGGCATACACACCACTCGAGCGAGTAGTATGCAATATGCATGCTGGCTTTTCTATTTTTTTTTTTCAATCATTGTTATCCAAGTCGCGGCTGCACGTCTTTTTTCAAATCAAATTGTCACCAAAGTAGTTAAAATGGGAGTGGATCGTAAAAAAAATAATTATTATATGGTCATGTTTTTTTTTTTTTATCATAATCACTCATTTAAAAATTATATACTTTTTTTTATGTCATCATCAATAAATGATTATGATTGAATAACATGGTCATATGATATTTTTTTACAGGCAATAGATCCTGAGTTTTTTTTTTTAAGTCGTGGGGCTCACTTTTCTGTGTCAGCAGCTGTAGATAACACTATCTACGGCTGCTGCAGAAATATTAAGCCTTATATATATATATATATATATATATATATATGATTTGAGTGTTAAGCTTTCACTTTTTTATAGTGTACTTCATTCTAGTGAAATTTTTTGATCTTTCTACACCTATAGAGTAAACACATTGCCGAACTACTTAAATATAATATATGTGTCTTGTATGTGTGCCATTTATTTTATATTTTACTTTCTCTTTCTCTGTCTCATATTTAGCTTTAAATCGATCTGTTTCATAACAATCATAATATAATATTGTCATCTTTATAGTAGAAGATTTAAAATTCAGTCTCGATCACCTCCCAAATTAAATTCAAATATTTTCAAAGAATTAACTAATAATGTTTAAGAAATCATCTGTTTTCCATAAGAGCACATCAAGCAACATTTAATTTATTTAATCAATTGTTGTAATAGCTTTCAGGTAAAACATTTCAATCAATTAGGTAACGAGTTTCATGAAACGAACCTGTTCTACTATATAACATAAAGAAAATGAACAACAACACTAATAATATATTTAACATATTTTTTATTATTAAATAAATTTTCTATAAATTTTGTTAAGTAAAAAATACATTTAATTAATTTACTAAAATTAACATAAATTCAATCAATAATAAAAATATACTATAAAAGCAGAGGCAGACCAAGGTAGAGACGAGCATCGAGGTCGTCTCCCTAAACTTTAATTTTATTATTATTATTATTATTATTATTAATTATATATATAATGATATTTGTCAAGTAATAACAAACTATTAATGTTAATAGTTAACCCCTCCCTAAAAAATACTTATAATAGTTAGTTTACCTTATTATTCTTAATAAAATTTGTAATTTTGATATTTTATTTTTGCCCCTATCACAAAAATCCTGAATACACCACTAAAAAGTAAGCAATAAAATATATTATGATATCATTCCTTTTAATAACAAGGTAAAAGTTTAAAAATCCCCTACGATTTCTGTTTCTCTTATTCTAAAACGCAGTAGTTTTAAATAGTATAATACAATTTTATGTCCATTTAAAGGACAAATATTAACCCCAAATTTATAAACTGATTTCTTTTTATCCTTAATCTATTTTCTTCTTTTTGATTTAGACATATTTGATATTTTTCCTTCTATGACTTTTTTTTTTACTTTTAGTCTTTTTTTGTAAGTGTTGTAAGTTTTCACTATTTTAGATTTTATTTTTTCCTTTTTATTCATCAATCTATTGTCTTATTCTTAGAAGGATAAAATAGGTTAATTAATTGAGTTTCTAAAAATGTAAAAAATAGATTTAGATGGAAAAAAACTATAGGGCATAAGTGATTAAGAAAAATCATAAAGATGTCAAAGCAAAATCATATAGGAGTTTTTAAACTTTTCTCAAATAATAATAATCGTTATCATACGGTAATGTCAAATCTTTTAATGGAAAATGGAGAATAATAATCCTTATCACAAGTTAGTGTCGAATCTTTTTTTCTTTTTGGTGTTAGTGGAGGGCAAAGCCCAAGTGTCGAATCTTTTCACGGTAGAGTTAACTGGCAAATGAAAATGAAGGGATGCAAATATTTTTGTGGTGGTTAAATAATTAAAATGATACAAATTTAAATGAATACGTATAAATAATACTATTAAATAAGTAAATATTTATGTCATGTTGAAGTATATAACTTTGATGACTTATAATTGATATTATTAAATTCGAATCAATCCTAGTCGATGAATCACTGACTCAATCTATAAATATTGAATTAAATTTATATAAGAGTATTTAATACATATATAATAGTAACTAGCATTTAATTAAGCAATAGACCTATCAACCTTAGGTATGAATGCGTTACCAATTCTAATGACCTGTGAATGCGCCTTTAATATTAATCAGAAGCAACCCCGCAACAGAACTCTGCTTTAGATTTATGCATGCATTATGCCAATGGTATTTTATTGCGGTTTTCTAAAAAGTAATTATTTATGTAGTGTGTGAGTAAGGAATAAAAGCAGAAGCACTTATAAGTTTTTTTTTTTCAATCTTTTTTTTTTTTTTGGGTACAAATTTTCAATCTTTTCTGTTGGGTACGAACAAAGGTTGAAATAATAGTAATAATAATAATAATAATAATTAAACAAAATAGCAACGTAAGGCCAAAGATCTCGTCACGTCTTAATTTGATTTGACTTAGACAAAAATATGTTATCCGAATAAAATTAATTAACATTTTTATATTTAGAATCGATTAATATATTTTAATTAGATTAATTCAATTTGATCTAATTGATATTTTATCAAACAATTTTTTCTTAAATAAGTATAAATTTATAATAATAAGCGAAAAATGTACACTTTTAAAACCTAAATTTTAAAAAGTTATATTTACAAACACTAAAAACATAGTTAAGCTTCTTAAGAAATTACAACTAAGTTCCACTAATGTATTTATTTGCAACGAATTGTTTAATTAACTTCTAGAAGCAATTCATAAAATGCACACAGGATAATTATATTATATTCAACACGGAATCCATGAAATCTGAACCACTTTAGTGGGTTGGGTGTGAATTTAGTCTTAAACCTGAAAGGGAAAACCAATAGCATTCACGATTGTTACCAAAATGAAAAGCGAGAATAATTACTTTCAAAATATAATATAAAAAAAAAGTTGGTATGACAACCTTAGGCATATAATATTTAAAATAATTGTGAATTACTTATTAATTACTAATTTTATAATTGAATATTTGAAAAAGTTAAATATATGTCAATCACTTATCTCGTAAAAAAAGATGTGAAATCAATAAATATGTGAAATCATTAAATATAAGAAATCATAATTATACAAAAGATAAAAGCATTAAAGTGAGAAATCATAATCATAAACCTATCATTACTATATGTAAAGTGGTTGTAAAAATGATTTTAACTATATATATATATATATGATAAAATCATTTCTACACCCGCTTTACGTACAGCAACGACAGGTGTATGGTTATGATTCTCCACATTTAATATTTTCATACATTGTATGGTTACGATTCTCTGAATTTAATGCTTTCAAGTATATAGATGGCAAGTATTTGATTGTTGTACGTACAGTAACTGCAGAAATGTAAACCTATATATATATATATATATATATATATATATATATATATATATATATGAGAAAAATATTTTTCGAGCAGCTTGAGATATATTTATTTCTGTCCACCCAGAAACTATATCGTTTTGTTTATATTTTCTTGTATTAATAGATTCACCTTTGAATGTTTATATATATAAATATATATATATATAGGGAAAAATGTTTATGCAGTTAATGTAGATAAATTATCTGTATTTATTCCCAAAACGACGTCGTTTTTGTATTGAAATCTTAAAAAATTATAAATATAAAGACTATTATAACCCTTAAATAAATTAAAATTACAAAAACACCATGATTTCTGTCCCAAAACGACGTTGTATCAGGCTTACTGCAGATAAACCTATATATACATATATATATATATATATATATATATGGTAAAATAATTTCTAGAGTCGCTTTACGTACAACAATGACAGATTGATAGGTGTATGATTATGATTCCCAATATTTAATGCTTTCATCTATCTTTTGTATGGTTATGATTTTACACATTTAATACTTTCACGTATATAGATGACAAGTATTTAACTGCTGCACGTAGGACAACTGCAAAAATATAAACCCCTATATATATATAGGGTTTAGTGTGTATTTTTTTAAAAGATATAAGCTTATGTTCTTTCACCCTTCATAACTATGTATTCCGGAGTACATAATTATAATATAAAAGTTATTTTCTCTCTCTCCGTTCACGTCAGCTGACAAGTTTTTTTAAAAAAATAACTTTAATATTATAACTATATATTCTTCGGAGTACATGTTATAAAGGGATGAAAGGACATGAGGTTATATTCTTTAAAAGAAGAAATAGTTTTCCCATATATATATATATATATTATATGGGAAATATTACTCTCATGTTACATTAGAGTAGTTCTCTCATGTTATAGAGAGAATTCAAGTGAGACCCACCATTAAAAAGCAAAAAAGAAAAAGGAAAAAGAAGGCGTGCGATTTTCGAAGTGAGAGAAAATGAGATAACTATCTCATGTGAAATGAGAGTAGTATTTTCCATATTATATATAAGGTGCCTTTTTTTTGCTGTCACAACACCTTTTTTTTATGCAGTAGATACAGAAAAAGTGGGACCCACTCTTTTGTTTTGTTTTTTTAAAAAACCAGGATTTGTGGGCATATCATGATTTTTTATGTGTTTTTGCAAAATTTCTCTGCAGTAACAACAGAAATATATTACCCATATATATAAAGGGAAAGATATTGTGACAATCAAGTTGTGTTACTACGAAGTGACTACCAATTAATCTCACCGTTAGATCGATTATGTTGATCCAACGGTTATATTTATTTCCATCTTTGTATGGTCATAGTTTTCCAAATTTAATACTTTATATTTATTTCCACCTTTGTATGGTTATGATTTCTCATA